CCTTTCACTTAAAGAAGCAAAAACATCAAAAAGGAACCAATGCATGCAGCACAGGACACAAAGTTAAAAATGCCACCCTACAACCTCTCCATTCAGTTAAGTCTTTGGCTCTCTGAAGTAATTCAACTATCAAATCACAAAATTCAATAGAAACCTAATATCACTTAACACAATATACAGACTACACTTTTTGTGATCACCTGAAGGCAAAGAAAGTTGAATAAGTTTTGTTTTTTTAAGTTGTAAATAGACACAATACCTTTATTTTATTTGTTTATTTTTACATGGTGCCATGGATCAAACCCAGTGCCTCACACATGCTAGGCAAGCGCTCTACCATTGAGCCACAGCCCCGGCCCTTGAATAAGTTTTTTATAAACATCTCTTGAATAAAACAGACTAAAAGAAAAATTATATACAAATTCTCAGCTGCCTTTGAGTTATAGGAAAAGGTTTACAATAAAATTTGTTAAAACTTCTGTGGTGAAGTCATATAATTTTTCTATATATGACTTAATAACTTGTCTTTGTTCTTATCCTTCCTCCCACTTTTGAAAAGTTTACACATGAATTTACAACAACCTGACCACATCCTTTCTATTTTAAATCATTTTCCAGTGGGGCTAGAATCAGTTGAAGAATGGTAGAGTCAAAACCATCAAAACCCTACTCCCTAAAGTCTAAAGGTTCAAAATCTCCGAGGTAACCAAAATCCCCAGACACTTTCATCCGATTTAATAACTATGTATACAGAGAAATAATTTTTTCAAATATAAGACACCCTAGTTAGATAACAAATATTAGTCACTGAAGAAAAATATCCCACCATAACAAAGCTATACCATTTACTATTACATGTTATTTTGCTCTCACTTATATAATATTGATTATCAGCCAAATAATTTCAGAAATTAAAGTTTTAGGAATTTATAAGATAGAAAGTTTTAATGTAAAAAATATTCAGCGTTCAAAATACCTGTCTAAATAAAGGTCATCTGTTTTGTATACTATATTCATTTAATAGGAACATATCATGAATTCAAAATATATTAAGAAAAAACATAATCAAAAGTCTGGACAGTTCACCTTTCTACAGACTTTAAAGTAAAATGACATGTGAGTCTATATCACCATTTCATATCTAACCCTGCTGTAGTTCTTACTGTGAAAGCAAAAGTACCTGACAAATGCAGTAAAATTATACTTTTTTTTTTTTTTTTTTTTTTTTTGGTGCTGGGGATTAAACCCAGGGCCTTGTACATGTGAGGCAAGCACTCTACCAGCTAGATCCCCAGCCCAAGACTATAGATTTTTTTTTAAGAATTTCTTTTTTAGTTGTAAATGAACACAATACCTTTATTTTGTTTATTTTTTTATGTGGTACTGAGGATAGAACCCAGTGCCTCACACATGCTAAGTGAGCACTCTACTACTGAGCTGCAACTCCAGCCCCCAAGATTATTAATTCTAAAGGAAAAAAATCAGAGTTTACAAGAAAACAAATACCAAAAATAGGAAATTCCTTTGTTTGGGGTTTTTTTTTTTTTTTTTTTTTTAAGGTTTTGGGGACTGAACGAAGGACCTGTAAATGCTAGGCAAATGCTCTACCACTGGGCTACATCCTCAGCCTTTTTAATTTTATTTTGAGACAGAATCTGACTAAATTGCCCAGGCTGTCCTCAAACTTGGGATCCTCCTGCCTTTGCCCAGTGAGTATCCTGAATTACAGGCATGTGTCACCACACCCAGTTAGGAAATTCCCTTTCATGTTTCTGTTTCTTACTTTGCTTCTCTTCAAAATCTTAAAGATTTAACAAATTTTAAATAATCTGATAATGAAAAAACAGAAACCCAGAAATAGTCAAAAAATAAAATGGTAGTTCTACTACAGCTAAATCATCAAGCACACTCTGGGCTAATGATGCTATATGAAATGTGGGTGAAAAAGACAAATCCAGCATAGTTCTTGGCCCATCAACTGGCCAGTTACACTTAAACACAGAAAGTCAGAATTCTTTAATGAAATAATTTCACAAAAGAAAACTGTGGAACTTTGTGAACTATCCCCCCCATATATGCCTAACACAGGAAGGACTGAAGACTGTTCCTAATTTCTATCACATAGACTTCCTTGCAGTAAAAAACATAGGCCTTTGTTAGAAACTAACAAAGTAAAAATTCACTTACACTTTGAACTCCTCTCCTTTAGTAGTAGAAACAAGAAAGAACACAAACGATACATTAAAAGATATTTAAAAAGGATAAGTAAATTGTTGCATACTTGCTTTCATTGGATAATATTTAGAAAAACATCTTCCCAAATTGAGGTCTAATACAAAAGGGCATCTTTGAAATTCTTGTAAAAATCCATACCTAACAATTTTTAGTTACCTTGTTTATTTCCTTTTTAGAATTTTAATGATTTGATTAAACACGATAAATATCCTGCATATATAAATCAAGTTAATGGCTGTCATTTAAAAGTTTGTTAAAAACTTGATACCCACATCTTAATTCACTGAATCTTAAAAATTATCAATTTCCATTCAATTTTCTCTAAAATTCTAAGGCTTCATTTTTAGGGAGGAGGAGTGCTGGAATAAAACTCAGGGGTACTCAACCACTGAGCCACATCCCCAGCCTATTTTGTATTTTATTTGGAGACAGAGTCTCACTGAGATGATTAGCGCCTTGATTTTGCTGAGGCTGGCTTTGAACTCACGACCCTCCAGTCTCAGCCTCCTGAGCTGCTGGGATTACAGGTGTGTGCCACTGTGCTCAGCCTGTCATTGTTTGGTTTTTTTTGGTTTTGGTTTTTTTAGTTGTAGATGGACACAATACCTCTATTTTATTTATTTTTAATGTGGTGCTGAGGATTGATCCCATGGAAAACAGTATGTATTAAGCAAGCGCTCTACTGCTGAGGCACATCACCAGCCCTGTTTGTTTTAAAATACTGGAGGTTGATGGGCTGGGGATGTGGCCTAGTGGTAGAGGGCTTGTCTTACATGTGCAAGGTCCTGGGTTCGATCCTCAGCACCACATACAAATAAATAAATAAGTGACAGTGTACAACTATAAAAAATAAACTTAAAAAAAAAAAAGATACTGGAGGTTGAACCCAGGGACACTCTACTGCTGAACCACACTGCCCTCCCCAGCCTTTTTATTTATTTGTTTTTAAACAGGGTCTCCCTAACTTACTGAGGCTGGCCTTGAACTTGCAATCCTCCTGCTTCATTTTCCTGAGTAGCTGGGATCACAAGTGTGCACCACCAGATGGGGAAAATTCTGTTTTAAGAAATTAATTTATCTACTGACATCTTAAACTCTGACTTGGGAAAATTCATGATTCATCCTTCAAACTTACTCTCCACAAACATACCTGTATTTTAAAAATGGGCAGTAACAGAATAATACCATATCTGTGAACAAAAGAACTCCCAAGAATCACAGATCCAAATCTGCTAAAAAGTTACCTTCTGACTACAAAGTCTCTCAGGTTGGAAGTTTACCTTATTCTAGATACAAATAAACCTTAACAGTCATTATCAAAGCAAACAATCATGATGAAAATGACCATAATTTCAAGTTTACATAACTGCTGTCCTCGAGTTTAATTATTAATATTGGCCCCCTTTCAGCTTCTAAAGGGTGCTGTTCTGTGACAAAACTCCTCTATGGTGATAGAAGTCAGAATAGTGGTTGCCTTGGGGAGGGGACAGGTATAATGAATGGGAGAAACTCAAAGGGAGCCCTCTGGGAGCCTGAAAATGCTCTGTATCTTGATCTGAATGTGGTTATCAAGGCATATGATACATTAAAAAAAAAATCTTTGAAATATACTCTTAAGATCTTACCTCAAGAAAAAAGGTATAATTTCTTAAGCACACTTAAATACATTTTTAATGTCTTTATTCAAATAATTACAAAAATTTAGACGACACCACGTTTTTAAAAATGTATTTATAAAGATGCACCTTCGTGGAACCATAGACTGATTTTAACATCTTTCATGTTAAAGTCACCAAATTTTAGTACCAAAAGCACACAGAAAGATATCTGTTTATCCTAATTTCGCAAATAGGTAAAATCAAAATCCATATAGGTTTAGAGATGTACCCAAGATAAGGCAGCTAGTCAATGACAACGGTAGTCACAGAACTGTTTCCTGTTTCTGGCCACTCCCGTTTCCACCAGGCCGTTACTTTTCTGAAACTGCAAACAAATCTGAACTTTGAGTGTACCTATGGCCTAAAAGGACTCAACATACGACTCCAAACACCGGTTAACAGGCCCCAACGTGTACACGTGTAGACACTCCTCCAGCCTCTCAAGATGATAGGCAAGTTAATGTACATTTTACTTCAGATGCCATAAAGTTAAATATGACATCTTAAAGAGGTGGTTCAGGACAAGACAACGCAGATACTGTCAAAATGCACCTTACTTCCTTTCAAATCTCTTTGACGGTTACTTGATTCTCAAAGAGATCACTGCAGAATAGGGCTCGCACGCGCGCGCGCACACACACACCCCACATCACTTGGGGCCATTAACCAGCACTGCTTTGAGTGACCCGCTGGGAACAGCACCCACCAAATAAAAGCCAGTTTTCTGACTGGAACGTCCCACCCCACTCCCAGCGCAAAGCAAGATCTATAGATAACCTGTGCCTGACAGCTCAGTTTTAGACCCCACTCGAACAACTGACATCTTGGGAAAAAAACTTGACCCAACGTACATTCTTTCAGCGGGAATTTATGTTCTCCCAAGGCGTATCTGCTCCGCATAGAGCAGGCCTTAATTCCCAGGACACTCTGCTCGCCTTTACACTGCCTCCTTTTCAGCGTCCAAAAGCAGACTTCAAGAACAGAAATTGAAACGGTCACGGACCTGCGGAGTGCCTCGGGACTCTGTCCAGGTCCGCGAGGAGGTTGGCCAGCAGGGCCCGACGATCTGCAGAGCCAGGGAGGCCCGCTCACTTCACAACGGTGGCTATGCAACCGGTTGCGGCGACCGCTAGACGCTCCGCAACCGCGCAGCGGCCGCCTGGGCCCTCCGAAGTTCCGACCCGCGGCGCAGGCGACTCGCCCAGCCCCTGCTGCGGGTTCGCGCCCCGCCCGGAGCGAGCCCGGGGGGCGGGTCCGCGGGGGCTCGGCGGGCGGGAGCGCGGGGCGCGCGCTGGGGGCCCAGTGCGCCAGGGAACTTGGGCGCCCGCCGCTGCGGTCGCCCGACCACTTTCCTTTCACGCCTCCTACGGGCTGACGCGCGTTGCGCTGCCGGCCCGGGGCCGACGGCCGCCGCCGCCGCCGCTCGCTGCCGCGGCGAGGTGCCCAGGCGCGCCCCTGCAGCCCGGCCGACAGGCGCGCGGAACCGCGCGAGGCCGCGCGCGGGCGCCGCGCTCCCCCCGCCCGCCCCCGCCCCCAACGTGCCGCCGCCGCCGCCGCCCGTTGGCGCCTCAGCCCGCGTACCCGCCGCCCGCCAGCTCCCGGCGGTTTTCCGTTGGCAAAGTTGCGCGGCCGCTTCGAGGTCTCCCGCCCCGGCGCCGCCGCCGCCCCTTCAGGCCGCCGCGCGGGAAGGCCCAGCCAGCGGCCCCGCTTTTTTACCTGCCGGGAGTTTTCGCGCGCGCGCTCGCTCTATCGCTCGCTTTTCCCCCTCTCGCGCTCGTTTCTTTCTTTCTTTCCTTCTTTTCACTCGCCGGCGCGGGCGCTTTTTCCGCTCGCGCCGCCCGCGCTTGCCCGCTCGCGCCCTCCTTCCTGCTGGGCTCCGCGGAGCCGGGCGGCCGGCAGCTCTCCCCGCCCCCCTCCACCCGCGCTCCGGCGGAGGCGGCGGCGGCGCTCCGCGCTCCGACTCATTCCAATATGGCACGGGCGCAAGGCGCATGCGCCCGCGCCCCCCCACCCCGCCCCGGCTCCGCGGTCCTCCCGGCAGCCCGCGCCCCTCGCGCCGTGCGCGTGGCGCCCCCCCGGCCGGGCCTCCCCACACCCGCCCTCGCGTCTGCCGGCCCGGCCCGGGCTGCGCAGGAAGCGAAGGGTAGGCGAGCTGGGGCCCTGGGGTCCAGCGCCTCCCGCCGCCCCCGCTCGCGCGTCTAGCCGGCACCTTTCTTAGGACGCCCGGGAGGCGGTGGCGGAGGGCACAAGGCGGGGGGCTTCGGGTCCCCGACGACGTTATGGCCGGGTGCGGACGGGCCCCGACTGGGAGACGCGCTCTCGAGAACCTAGTGCTGGTTCTGGCTCTGCTCTGATTCAGGAGGGAAGGGCCTACCTCGGCTTCTTGACCGAACCACGGGGAACCTAGTGGAGTCCTGGGGGTCGTTCCTTGTGTCCGGTTCGGGACGAAGCGCGCTGCTGTAGTCCGCACGTGATCGCCCGGGGCAAGATGGCATTAACGGAGAAACGGACCCAGAGGCGTCGGGAATCCCAGATGGGCGCGTGCCACCGCTTGATGCCTGGTCCACGTCGGGGGTCTGGCACGTCGTTTTTAGGTTCTAGAAAGGCACCCAGGTGTCCCCTCTCTACCGAGTCTGACTCGTGCCTCTATGCGCACCCGATGTCTCCAGGCTTCCTCAGAAGGCGCCCTGTAAACCTGAGTTTTCTTAACGAAGAGGCACAGAACAGTTGCCGAATGTGGGCGAGAGCTCCGAGTTCTGGTGAAATCAGCTCAAAGGTGGCTGCGTCGGCCTCGCAGTCCGAGGTGCCCACGGGCGTTTACGTTCTGGAGCTCGTCCCTTCCGCCTTCAAGTGCAGATGCGCGTGAGGGACACACACACACACCTGATCAGGAAAGTTGCCCTGGAAGGGAGTCCCAGTGCCAGTGAGATCGCGAGTGCAGTGCTAAACTCCTGGGCCCTGGTAAGAGAGTTCGGTCAAGACGGTGATGGCCCCTACCTTTCAGGGAAAAGGAAGCGCCCCCACCACAAGGAAGTTCTAGGATACCCGCAGTGTGCTAGACTCGCGGGCTCAGTCCACCTTTCACTGATTTCAGTCGCCCTGGGAAATATTATATCACTTTGCAGACAAACTTGCTCAAAGTCACGCTGCAGGCTGTATTTGAATCCAGATTCTTTTTTTTTTTTAAGCACCACTTAAAAGAAAATATGACAACCAGTGAGACAGAGATGTAAAAAGATTTAAGTATCCAATCATTTCTATAGAATTTGACTTTTCAGACAGAAAACCTTCCATAATTGTGTATCTTTACACAATTAGAACCACAGGTTTTCATTTGCTACTTTCATTAACATTTTTCTTTTGTTAACATAATTCATTTTTAGGGAGTGCAGGTACCCCTATCCATCCACTTAATATCCTGGTATAGTATATTTTGTTACTTTGAGATTGTTTGCAAATATATCCTTGAATTCTGCACATGGGACACATTCCCTGGAATTGGGAAAGCTCCAGGTGGAAAGCTTTGAGTGGCCGAGAACAGCAGAGTGATTTTGCCCTACAATGACTTTGAACTTTCCCAAGAAGCTGCACCATTTATTCTATCACCTCCAAGGAACAAATGTAAGGAGTTTAATACACAATTCTAAGCATTGAGTGCCGTCTTTTCTCCCCTACATTAATAATGTCTATGGATAGTTCAAGGTTACCTTACTAAGCATTTTTTTAGATGACTAAACATTCAAAATTTCCTATCTTCATTCCCATTTTTGTGAATGACCTGTTCATATCCATTTATCTGTTGGGGCCTTATACCTCTTCTAACTTTGAACAAGCATTTTTTTTTTTTAAAGATATTACTCCTTTGCAATCACTGATGCAAATATTTCCAGTCTGTTGTTCTTTTTTGTTTTATTCTAATGTTCAATTTGTCATTTTTTTCATTACTTCAATACTAATGAAGTAAGCTTTCTTCCACCCATCTGATAATCTGTTTTCTACTAGTTTTATACAATTTCATTTCATATTTAATTCCTTGATGACTATATGCTGAATTTATTTTGCTTTATTTTGGAGTAAAATGTGGATTTAACTCATCTGCTCTGTTACCAATTGTTATTGCTTATGCAGTCACCATTTATCAAACAGTTCTTCCCTTATGATTTGTTTAGTTAAACCTACTTTTATGGGTTGGTATATTTTTTAATTTTCCATTTCCTTCCATAGGCCTTGGTTTAAGCAAAGACTACATGTATATAAATATTGGCTGTTTGAAATAGGTTTTTAAAAATCTTTTTTAGTTGTCTTTATTTTTATGTGGTGCTGAGGATTGAACCCAGTGCCTCATGTTTGCAAAGCAAGCACTCTACCACTGAGCTACAGCCTCAGCCCTGAAAACGGTTTTTACATCTGACAAGGCTCAGTTCCTACTATGCCAGGTGGGGGTCTTCTTTTTTCAGAATATCACTTAATATTCACACAAGTTCATGTGTCCATGTACATTTTAGAATAATCATTCCACCTTTGCACTCCTGTTTGTCTTTGAAGATGAACATTCAGGTTCAACACTGAGTAGCCCTGTGACATTGACAAGTTGCTTACCTCTATATTCTTGGTCTATAAAAAAGGATAGGAATTAACACCTGCCTCCTCATTAGCTCAATGCCTGGCACATAGAAAATGCTTAGTAAATGTCACCTATTGTTAACGATATTTTTGGTTTCAAAGAAAATTTGAAATTTTGCATGGCATTGCATTATCTAGGAACTAGTTTAAATGCATCAAATATTCTATAACATTTCATTTTTTTCCAACCAGGACATGTGCTATCTTTTCTTTTTTCCCAATATTTTAAGACTCTTAGAAGCCAGAAGTTCCCTTGTTGACTCCAGCCCTCTTCCACTCTTCACCTTCATGACCCCTAATGAAGAGAAACAGCAAAGAGCCAGAGTGAATCGTTGAAAACTACCATTTGAATGGCTGCCTTGGGCTGGGCTTGGGTGGGTGTGGGTTGTGGATATATGCACCTTGCAGCATCCCTAGAATAGAGCAAACTAGGAGCTTCCAGGACATCTTTAGTGAGAGGCAGAGTTAGGCCACAAACCAACGTTGAGGAGCTGGCACCGTTGATGTCAGCTCCTCAACCACTCTGCTCCTGGGAAATTTGGCTTCCAGATTGTTGACAGAGAGGTAGGCCCCAGAAGAGAATGGAACTAGGGGTAAACTAGGGAAGACTGACTTCTCATTATGACTCACCTTTCCTAAAAACCTCCCTACACTTCCTGATACAACTTGTGTAAGTCCAGCAACCTCACTGTGGCCTATATGACTATCCCGTGCCCCCTGCCAACCTGTTCTACTCACCTAACTTGCCAGCTGCACCTGCCTCCTTTTATTTCCATGAGCATGCCATAGTCCTTCCCACCATGGGGTGCACATAACCTCAACCTCCTCATCTACCTTCATGTACTTGACACCTGCAGTATTTGTTTAACAAGGTGGGCTCCTCGGGAGTTTGCCTTCCATCTCATCTCTCTCTCTTTCTCTCTCTTCCCCATAGTTGAATTTATAATTTATGCCTGCATTTGTTTGTAATTTGCTTGTGTCCTGTCCATGGCTCCACAGATAGACATCAGTCCCCATGAGGGCAGAGATGTGCCTGATCATTAAACCTGAACCTGGTCTTTTCTCCAAGAAGCAGTTGTGGACAAGAGAATGGCATCCAAGACCAGAGGCTGGCATACCCAGAAGGCTCCCTGGCCATTCCCAATTTGGTCTCCACTTCCTTCTGGCTCCATCAGTTGGAGGTTATAACACCATGTCCTCACTGACGGAGGGATCCATACTGACTATCCCAAAATGGACTCCTGTTCCCTTAAACTTTGCCTGCTCCTTCCAAGGAGGCTTCTTTCTGGCAGCAGTGAGTGTGAAGCTGGAACTTAGGACTGAGTGAGAAAAGAGTAACAGGCCCGGACCCTGGGTACTGGCAGTGCCATTGATCAGGGCATCAGGCTGTTTTCAACCCAAGAGGAACTTAATTAGGTTCCTCAAGGCTGCTGTGACCTGCTTTCAATAATCAGTATCTTTCCATTGTCACTGAGCAACCAGTTCCCTTTAATTATCCAAGTGAGGCAAGTCATGTAATGTCTCCTTGGGGCTAGTTACCCCAGTGAGCAGGTGATTGCAACCAAAGGGCCCTACTTACCCCATGCTACTCTCTTCTGAGGCCCAGCTGGCTATGGAGGCCCTGCTTCTCTGGGAATAAAGACCACTGCTGAATGACCTCCCAGGACTTGCCCTGCTCCATCTCCAGTTTTTGTTCTTGCAAATCCCATGAAGCATCCTTCTCTCCTACAACATATTGTAGGGGGAAAAGCAACGGGATTGGAAGTAGCTAGATAGCTTGGGCTCAGTTCAGGTTCAGTCACTGCTTCTCTATGAGACCTTCTGTGGGACTTTCTTTGTGGAACCCTTTGCCTCTCTGGGCTCAGTGTCATCATCTCAATAAAACAGGAATGAAGCCACCTACCATGCAAATCCCTGAGAATTAAAGGACAAAATGTTGATAAGGCCTCTTTGCAAACTGCAAAGCACAACAGAATTATAAGAAATAATTGGCCTGGCCTCAAAGTCACCTCCACCAGGAAGTTGCCCAAGACCACTCTACTTCCTTCTTTGTCTTCCCAAGGAACTTAGCTTCTTCCCCTGCCTTCTGTTATTTACCTTGGGACAGGCCCAGACCCAACCCCATATTCCATCCTTGAGTGTTGCATCCTAGAATCGTGCTCTATTCATCAGTGGAATCCCCTTTCTGCTTCCATAGCCCTCTTTGGCCAATTCAGACAGGCAAATAAATTAATAGCTACAATGTTTCTAACTTTATATTACTTGTATCCCCTTTCTTAAACTTTTTCACATCTTTAATGTCTTATCAACTAACGAAAGTTCACAGGTGCATAGGGGTGTAACTCAGCAACAGATCACTTACCTGACACACAAAAGGTCTTGAATTTGATCCCCAATACACAAAACAAAATTCACAAGCATCAAATAAGTGACAATGACATTGAGCAAGGCATGAAAAAACAGGGGAGCAGCTCTCTGTATTGGGGTTTCTCTTTGGGGTGATGAAAATGTACCAAAATTAAATAGTGGTAAGGGTTGCATAACTTCATTAACATACCAAAATGGATAGAAGTTTACAC